AACGCTTTGCAAACAGCAGCGCCCACGCACTCCAAAAACGCTTTGCAGACAACAGCGTCCATAAAGTCCAAAAACGCTTTGCAAACAGCAGCGGCCACACACTCCAAAAACGCTGTGCAAACAGCAGCGTCCACACAGCCATGCAAAAAACACAAAGACTTCTGCATGACCACAAACTTGAGCCATGAACATGAACTTGTTTGTTTTTGTTCGGTGTGCGTGCGGGCCACCCGTCGGATATGTGTTTTGGTGTTTTTTTGTGTTTTGGTGTTTTCTTTGTTTTTTTTGCTTATAGAACACGTATAAGAAACTCTGTGTGTGTGCACTTTGCATGCCAAACCCCTCGCGAAGAGGCCGTTTCCGCGCTCGAACGACGGAACGTGAAACTTCATGGAACCACTTCCATGACAAAAGGAGCTTTGCACTTTAGTTGGTGCACACTTCATACTACATGTTTTAGGGAACATTCCTGCATACTCCTTGCGACACCCCCTGTTCTGATTCAACCCCAGTTGGGAAGGGTCGCAACATTAGATTCACATTTTAGTGAGAAGTGCTTACACCTCCATCCAACCCATGTTTGCATCCTGCCCGGCTGCAACCGATGGCGCCCTTTTCAGAGGAAACTTGGGACAAGTTGGGTCTTGTCGGGGCAGGGCGTCGGATTCCTCGAGCTGGCCCTTGACTGTTCAAACCGCAAACCAAGGTTGAGGGACAACCTTTGGAAAACTCTAAGCAGGGCTGAAGCGGAGTGGCATTTCACAGCGATCTTTTTGATTTGACCTAGGTAGGACTCGTCCTGGAAGCGTGCAAGCTTTCTTGGATTAATCCGTGTCCTCTCAACTTGTTCCCCGATGTGTTCCCAGTAGTGGTGTTTCGGTCGAAAGCTCCATCTCTTTACAGAAGCCTGGATGCAGGCCGAACGCATCTTTTGCCAGTGCAAAAGTGAATCCTTGATGCAACGATTGATGTACGTAGCATCCTCTGTTGCCAACACCAATCCACCTTGATCCATCCGATGAATTGCTGCCATCAAAGCCCAGCTTACGCAGGCACCTCCCTGAAGAATGGTGTCCTTAAACAAAGTGCTCATTGTTGCTATGCATGGAAACGTGCAATCCCTCAACATGGTGGTTTGTGAAATCCCTCAAAAGGCTTGTGAAGGTTCATGAGTTGTGAAATTATCAGAAGGTCGATAAAGCCACAGCGCAGGGTCACTGAATTACAAGCGAGCAACATCGTCCGAAGCAGCTGCGAATTCGCAAGCCTTCATAGTCACAAACCATAATATGACCTTGACATGCGCTGCCTTCCAAGCAGACCCCAGCTCAGGATATTTGTTTTCAAGTAGCCCTGTGTTTGCCGGAGTGAAAGATAACTTCTTGACATTGATCCTTAGATACAAAAACAAAACCCGAAACAAGCGGTTCCACAAGATCTCCAACATCATTGAGGGTGTTTCAATAACCCCATGCAAAAGAGTTCCCGCAACTGCATTCACCTGCCCAGGATCTTCTGCCTTTTGGACTCTTTGTTCATCACTGAGCTGAAGCTCCGGAGCTGCTCTTCAAGCGAATTACCAGGCAAGCAATCGCAATCGATGAAGTCAGACAGCAAATTGCCAACTAGGTCACAAGCAACACCTAGATAAACTATGTGAAGCATGTCGTAAAAGCAACTGCGCAAAGACCAACCAGGCATGCATGCCCAAGGTGACAGGGCGCTGGCTGTTCTGCGGTAGGTGAGATCGCTGATGTAGGTGAGGTATCGCGGGCTTTCAGGCCGGAAGTCAAAATACCACATCTCTTGGTTCGACTTGGGTGTCGGATTTTGTGACATACACTGGTCACACATGAACCGACACTGATAAAACCTTTCAAACATGTTGCACTGGTATCTGGCCTTCAAGTCGAACCTGCTACCAAAATAGGCGCCCCTTGCAGGGTCCATGGTTGTTGGCGGCGGTTGAAAACAACATGGAACATATCGGAAAACTGCAACTTTGTTTTGTCCAAACCTGCCTCCAACCATGGAAAGATAAAGGGCATCCAGCCAGCCGGGACCGAAGAGTGTTGTCGGGGAAGATTTCCCCTTCAAAGCCGGCGACGGGCCACAAGCCGTCCATCGCATAGGTCATTGACCAAGCCATCAAAGATGCGACTCGGCTATGAACTTCAGCTTGGACCTGGGAGAAGTTGTTTGGGAGGAAGAAGTGGTTTGAGATTTGGGCCGCGCAGTTTTTGGCAACCTTGTGTATTCCAAGTAGCTTTTGGAGATCTCATGCATTCATGTGGTACAATAACCAGAGGGAACTTGATGTCCATCACCTCACACCCCCAACTGTAGCGGACGCTGGTTCACAGTTTCCATTAGCCAGTTGAGAATGTTTTTCCATGGCTGTGGGGCCAAACAAAGAAAAGTACGAAGCCTGAAATGAAACAAGCAGCATCTCCACTTGCTAGGAGGCTTCCAAAGCTCCAGACTAGGTACTCTGTGTTCCGAAAAAATTCAGCCCCATCACAATGATAAGTCACTGGAATGAATCCTGAGGGAGCACAGCGCTTACCATGCTACGAAGACAAATCAAGATTCTCGCCGGCAAAGCTATGGAAGCTGAGGCCATGTCTCCCCAAGTCCTCCCCTCGTGTGAGAACAGGATGCGATACCCATTCTTCCCACTGAGAACAATGCTCCCACAGATCGCGCATCTCATCCCGGGTCCAAGATCCAAGCATAGACTTCTCGAACTGGCAAGGCAGAAGAGAAGACTTTTGTTTTTCTGGGAACCATCCACTTCCGAGACATCAGTGACATCAAGTGGTAGACATCCATCTATTCCAGTAGAGGTTGAAATGACATGTCTACCGTCACCGTGACAAAGGGGCCTGAGTGGGCCCTGCGTTTTCAAGGGCATAGAAGATCTCGTGTGGTAGTAGGCACGGGACATCAACCTCTTCAATCTTTGTGGAGTCAACAACCTTGCGCCGAGGTTGAACCCAAAACAATAGGAACCCACCCGCCTGGCTGAAAGGAATAAACCAAATTAGACATGACTTCTTCTTCCAGTTAGGCAACATGAAGATTCAACTTTAGATAGTAAACCTCCAAGCTCACGTTGTACAAATCCTTTAGCCATCGATGTAAATCTCTTTCCTCGTTGGCATTGCACCTCCCAAATGAACCAAGAGAGGCGAAGGCTTGTATTGATGCTGGGGGCTCGCCGTCACGCATCTGCGCTTGCGCAATGCTGACAACTGTGCGCACGTGCGCCTGTCCACTACCAATCATTCCTTGAAAGGCAATTGTTACCAATTGAAAAATGAGAAGTTCTCACATAACCCCTTTATCGTAGGGGCTCCTTGACAGGAAACACGGCAAGTAGATTGGGGTAATAGAGCAAAACCAACAAAACTTTGCACGAAACACCATGGGTCGGACAAACTGATCAGCTTGATGGCTGTAAGGAAGGTCTTCATATTTGTCTCCACGAAACCTGCGGAGACCCCATCCAAGGAGACTTCATGCACTTCATGCACTTCAGATGCTTCGATTGGGCCCCGCACTTCTTGGCAGGCTGGGAGAAAGCTGAAGAGGAAGGGCGTTTCACGCCTGGCTCGAATGGACATGTATATATATATATAAATAGGAAGGGGCTTTCACGAGCTCACGAATATATAGGAATACCTATTATATATATATACACGTACATATATATGTGTGCTTCTTTGGGGAGGTGCCTTCAAATTATTTTGCTCTCGACGCTTAGGGTGTGCGCTAGTCCGAGAGGAAATTGTCCCTGAATTCACCATCCATCCCACGATCGCAATGCTCTATACCCCTTCTTTTTTCATCAAGCTGCCATTGTATTGAGATCACTTAAGATCAACTGCACGCTGGTTAGCCCTGGAACGCCATTGACTCCCAAAAGAAACAACTTTGTTTGGTATGGTTTTGACACATTGCAACGGCCAACAGGCTGCTGTGCACACCCCAAAATTCAAACTGCCGGGCCATGAAAGATTTCACTTCTCAGCCTTAGCCTTGGATTTGGCAGTGGTGCCCTGCTTCTTCTTTGCCTTCCGATTGATGCCAGAAAGCAATCCCTTCGCAGCCACCTGAAGGGGATAAAGGCTTGAAAAGGCATGTTTCTAGAAGTCGACTAGCATGTTTCTAGTGGTCGACTTGACAAAAGGCATTGGACCTAAGCTGGAAAGAAGAATAGTTTGGGAGCCCATGGCCTTGGATTTCTCAAACCAAGCCATCTTCTCCGTCGCAAGGTGGACGGCCTTCTTGAACTTCTTGTCGCTCGTGTCAGGACAGGCAACTAGCTTTTGCATGACTTGGTACAAAGCCTCTAGCTCCTTTCCATGGCGCAACAATTGTTCAGAAAGCTGGTCGCTATACTGAATGTTTTGTAGGCTGATCCCCAACTTCCGAGCTTCCGTAGCCTGCTTCAAAACCGAATCCATGGTGTCAATGGCTTCCCTGGGAGCGAGGGGTTGCGAAATAAGACATTTGGATCCCTTTCAACCACTATTTGATTTGATGTTGGGTTGAAAAAATGTTACATGGCTAGGCAAAGCCAAGGTGCTCTTTTGGTGTGGCAGGGGTCACTTCTTCTGCGTTCTCATTCTTAGGCTTTGGCTTTGCTTGCGGTTTGACCACAACACCTGTAGACAGAGAGCTGCAAAGGTTTTTGACGCCTTCGTTGGTTGCCAAGTCTAGTGCAGGCATTGCCCCACATGCCAGCGGTCCGGTGTCAGCCGTCAAGGCTTCCAGCAAAGAGGGATCAGGATTATTTGTTTGACCATGAAGGGCCATTCGCTCGGATGTCCTGTCTGTCCGCGTGAACTTTCGTGGAGCTGAAGGGTAATACCATATTTCCTCCCAGGGGTTGAACCACACAGGTGCACCTACACTATATCACCTAAACTATTAACCTTGCTCAACATGTTTAACATACAGGGGATGTCTCGGTCCTCCTCATCGTTTGGCCAATCTTCATCCCACTGCCACAGCCCCTTTTCACGAAGTTTGGTGGCGCATTCAGAAACTTTGTCAGGGGCGCAGTATTTGGGCGCTAGGTCCCGGATCTTCACACCAATCCTTCCTGTCCTACTCTCTGTCTCCCGTTCCACCATCCGGTCCACCACAACCGCCACCCTCAGCATGGTCGAACAAACAGTGAGGTTGGAAGAATGAACATCCATAAAGAGTGAACATTCATGAACAGTAAGGTTGTGACTCGTCCAGCTTCTGATTGTTTTCCAGCCAGAGGTTGAAGAGGTCATTCTTTTTCTTGTCCAGCCATGGTGCCAGCTGGATAGGGAAGTTTTTCCGGTCTTGAATTTGTCGACTGAATGTCGCCCACTCATTCTTATTCGACACACCTTAGCTGAGTATAGAGGGGGCCATTTACAAAGGTTTCAACACTGGTTGAAACTCTACACATTTACAAACGCTTGTTTTTCGGAGGTGCTGTTTGCTTTCTTCTTAGCAAGGACCGCTGAAGCTGCCAAGTCCTTGCCTTTCTCATCTTTTGTCTCTGTCTTCGCTTCTTCTTTTCCCTTCTTCTCCTTGCCCTTACTCTTCTGTACCTTGCCGTCTTTCTGGGAAGTCTCTCTGTCATCTTTCTTGTTGCTCTTCTCCTTCTTGTCCTTTTCCTTTCCAGCACCCTTCTCCTTCTCCTTGTCCTTTCTCTTCGCAATCTTCTCAGGTTCTTCATCCTCTTGGTCCTCATCTTCACTGGATCCTTCTTCATCTTCCATTTCTTCCTCGTCTCCTTGCTCCTCCTCATCGTCTTCCTGCTCAACAGAAACTTCATCGTCGTCCTCATCATTTTCTTCCTCAGTCGAATTGCCGACATCGCTCTCATCACTGTCTTCGGGCTCAAGGCGTTTGGCCTCAGCCCCCAGCACCAAGGTGGTATCAGACTCAGCTTCACTTGAGCTGGCGTCTAGAGCCTCTGAGAATTTCTTTGTATAGTCAGCGTCGACCTCCTCTTCATCAAACTTGCTGGGGGTCGCCTTTGGCACCTTGCCACCCTTCACTTTCAGGTGAGCTTTTTTCACCTTCTTTCCCCCTTCATCATTCTCATTGCGCGTCTCCTCCTCTTTCATGTTGCCCTTATCCTTGGCGCTCTTCTTCTCTTGTCCTTTGTTTTTAGTACTCTTGGACTTTACATCACTCTTCGCCTTCTCTCTCTTCTTCTCAGCCTTCTCATCCCACTCATTCTCCTTGCGCTTCTTCACTTTCCGATCATCACCATCCCTCGGTGACCTTTCAGGCTTGGTGCCTTTGACCTCTGGTGTGGAATAGACGAAGGATGCAGGCTGCTTACCAGTAGCCCGCCGCAAGTTAGAAGCACTCGCTGTGGTTGAGCTGGTGCTGCCGGCATCGCTCTTGCGTAGGGCCGACTTTCGAACCTCCATTTGCCCAGGTTTGGCTTTCGCCATGACACTAAGGCTTCACCTTAAGGCTGCACCACTGTCACGACTCTTGAAAAACAGGGCTACGGTATTCACATCTCTCACACACACACATCCCACACCACTACCTACATTTCACGGCATTATCTCCATTTCACGCCATCACCTGTGTAACCTGTCAACCTTCACTCCATGCGCCAACCACTTCTCCGACATATTCACAAGTGAACACGTCACCCATTCGTGTTTTTTGTCCCAAAGTGTGACACCTACAAATCACGGCATTCCACGCCCAACCACTACTTTTTCACGACAAATCACCACTTTCTTTTTGGTGAAAAAATAAAAAACTTGGAGAAAAACCCGCATTGTTGGATTCACTGACCCCTTTCGGAAAGAGAGCGCGCCTCCAAAGCTGTCCACGTTCTTCAAGACAAGTCTTGGCATCAGCCTGGCTGCAACGGGTTCCAATGGTGCCTTTTGTTTCCACGTGTATGGGTATCCGCTTCACACATTCAGTGACTTTAAGCTGAGAAGTGACACTCCCGTTTTTGAACTCTCACCCTGGCATGTCCTCAATATCATGCGATAGCCGGGCATCAACTCGTGCCAAAAAGCACAGGATGCTTCCCCTAATTATTTCAGCTTGCATGACCTTTGAATACATGCTAGCTGAGGTAATCAAATACTGGCATAAGGTCACCACTCCGGATCCAACGGTTCAGGGAACCACGAGTGCCGACACGGCTGCAGGACTTCTTCAAGATCTTCTTCGATGCCTTCTTGATGCTGTCCTGGTGCCTGGTCCTCAAACGAGCTAGGGCGCGTCCAAACCTGGGTATTGGCAGCGCTGGACAGGGAACAGGCCATTGGGAGTACTGTAAAGCTTTGAATCTATACCCACTAAAGTTCCAAACGCATCTCTTACATGTTTCTTCGACAAGAAAACTTTATACTATCTGCTGAAAAGAACCCAATCGGGTAGGCTTGAGAAGACTTCAAACTGGATGACCCTGTGATTCTCTTCTCTCCTTTTCCGTTTGTGTAGTGCACCACCAAAGACTGTTTGTCCACATTGGGGAGCTTCACAGGCCTAAACAGCTCGAGGTCATTGATGATCTCCTCATGGCCTTTCGATGGGGATGGCAACATACTGTTCTGAACAGTTGGAACCGTTCTGAGTACAACCCCCAAACCCTCCAAAACCTATGTGGGAATGTCTCAAAATAGGGGCGCCCGAAAATGTTTCTTGAATTTTAAAAAACACAGATTTGGGGCGCCCATATAGGCACCCCTATTTTGAGACATCCCCATGTTCCAACCGAGCACCTGTGTAGAGCCATGTTGGTTTTTTGCTTGCAGCACCAAAAGCTCCCATGGAAATTGACTTCCGATAGACCTTGATGGCTCTCATGAACGCTTGCATTTGCGGGTGGTACTGGAACAGTGAGCCCTTGGGTTGCTCAAGAACCCAGAACAGGGAGCGCGCAACAGCCAAGTAGAGTAAAATGGCAACACGACAGGCCATCACGTTGCCCTCTCGAGTTGCCCCTTTGTCGCAGCCAAGAGGTGCCGCACGGCTGCGATGGGTGGAGCCTCTTGACCTTGGATCAGTGACGCCGATGGAGCAGGTTGAGAGAACCGCTTTTGGTCGGTTTTGATTCCAGTGAGATAGAAAGCCCCGATAGAAATAACATCATCCAAATTTCAACAATGGGTTATAGTGAACATTGAGTGAGGGTGTTGCGACACCAAAAAAGGGTGGTCATCCTAGCAGGTGGTTGTTGCAGTGGGGTTGCAAGACCCTCAAACTCTGGTGGTCAGGACTGGAATCCTGACGTTGCAAATTTCAAGTTTCTCTGGGGTTCGAAACGGACCCCACCAAGTCTCGAAAAAGGAGGCCAAACCAAAGTTTTTACATACTTTTTCAAGACTTGGTGGGGTCCGCTTGGAACGCAAGAAAAACATTAAATTTGGCATCCTGATGAGACCCTTGCGCAAAAAAAGAAAACACAGGAAGGCAAGCCAGGGGTCATGAACACCCATGTCGAACAAACCGGCGCTAGTGTAAGCCCTCCAAACTGCTTGACATTCAAGACATTGTACAGAGCTAGTGCGAAACCCTGCGGCGTCAGAATGTTCTGGCTCTCATCGTACGAGAGATCATACACTGAGCACGAGCGCCCCTCCTTCCAAGGGACACAAAGCCTACCTGAACCTTCCAGAAGAAGACCTTTTCATTGGTTTAACATCTAACACCTTTACCCTTCCATATAGGGTACTGTATTTTGTAAGCTTTAGAAGAGTATGGTGTTCAGGTTGGTTCTGACACCGTTTGATTTCTAGCCGTTTGAGTTTCAAACAATGGCACCCTTGCAATAGACATCAAACAGGCTCTCGTTTCAAACAGCCATAGGATAAGGGTGAGCCACATGGCCCCGTGATTTCAGGGTAGATGGCGCAACTTTCACTATGTTTGTTTGCTGGGCTTACATATAAGCAATTTTATGGGGGTCTACCCTCACTCCACTCTTCCCACGTTTCCCCAACGGCAACGACAGAGCCTGCATCTCTCCCTTAGTGACGCTCATACATCCACTGAAGAGCTCTGCATGGTCAGTGGGCTGACTCCAGTCAAGATGAGGCATCCCATATACCATCGATGCTAACATCATCACCGCCTGGGACGCACGAGGAAAGGGGTAAAGGTCTGTTTTTACAGAGTCTTCCCAAACCCTATGTACATAGCAACCCTGCATGGTTTCAGATACTAACAAGCCCTTTGATCTTACAGCGGCCGAGCCACAACCGGGGCTCGAATGGCTCTCAATCCAGCAAGAGTGGCAGCACGTTCCTTGTCCTTCTTGGTCTTCGGCTCACGCTGGGTATGAAACCCATGGGGACCCTTCTTCATGGCCCTCACAGTATTAGGCTTCCCCATTGCACCAGCTAGCAAGGAAACACCTCGAGACGGGACCTTCAGCCAATCGGAGCTGCACGCCATGAGATTTCTTTCCAGGGATATGTTTGGTGAAGAATCAAGAACCTTGAACAGATGTTCAAACACGGGTCACTGCAACACTGCCGGGTGCACCGTTGAGCTCCAGCACACTCAGGATCGATGCGCCATGAGCCTGATCGGATTGACGCTGAGAGTCAGGACAATAAGGGGGTTTGCGGTAGCATGCGCGAGCGCCTGGCCTCACCAGTTACCATTGGGAAGCTGCGAGATCCCATTAGTAGCATGGAAAGAAAAATCAACACTGTTCTTTGTAAAAGGCACTCCACTTGAACAGTTTAATTGTTCTTTGCTGGTTCCATGTGTCGGGCACGCTGCTTTGCCAGAAGACTGACGCTACATACATACTGTGTTTTGTGTGATTGACCGCAGCGGCCCGTTATATAGATGTCATGGACTCGTGAAATCGAGGCGTCACCTTCCAGACGCTGCAAGATGTGTTTCACAATGACAGAGTGTTACAGTGTTACACACAAAGTTGACAAAACGCTGATTCCAGCACTCCCTATCAAAAAACAAGTCTTGCTTTCCAAGATTTGATGAAAGCTCTAAGCTTTGAAACGCAAATCCAAACTATTGCTTTCCAACGTTTAGAACAAACGCAAAACCTTTTTGGAGACGCAATCTCAACGCTTATGCAATGAGACTTTCCACGCTATTTTGAGACGCAAGCCTAAAGCTTGACCCTAGAGTTCCCCCAACCCTGAACCACGGCCGCGCCCTGCGCGTTCGACGAACTGTCACGAAAACAAATGCTCTACTTTAGAAGACATGTGAAGATGTGAAGATGTGAAGATGCGAAAATGAACGCAAACCAATTGTTCAGACCGAGATGTGTTCTTTCTGCGCCTGAGGCTTGACCATGCTCTCAGGAATCCCGCCAAAATGAAATGGATCTGAAATGGATGTCTGGTTTCAGTCATCCTGTGGCTTGAAGCCGGATCTGCGCACCGCTTCTGCCCACGCACGTTCCACACCACCAAACTTAGCCCAGGACACTTGTCCTGTTGGCCCAGTGCCTTCTTCGGAAAAGCGCTTCGCAAAATATGCACGGTGCTTCAGCAAAACCTCTACGCACGAGTTCCCACTGCACAATGTGTAACGGTGTTTCCCAGTGTTGGCCTTTCGATTGTCTGGCAAACACTCTTTTTGGCAACAGGGAAAGATCATATGTCCCTTGGTAAAGCAAAGGGGTTGAGCCCTTCTTCATTCCAAGTGACGGGCGATTCACTTTAAAGCTTGCCTTTCCAGATCCGGACTTGGTCTTCGACTTGACCTTCTTCTTCTTGTTCTCCGGGTCTGCCTGCATGGATGGCATGCCAAAGAAAAAGAAATGAAACTGACATGCAAACAACGGCATCTTGCGAAGCACTGGATTACCTGCTGAAAAGCACGGCGGGCGAAAGTAATGAAGCTGAGGGGCCAAAGGTTTCTCTGGTGTGCCTACGTCAGCATCTTGGAAGAAATCAGGTCTGGTGCAAAGCGGAGTCCTCAATGTAGTAGAATCGCTCGAAGCAGCCGGCGATGCCTTTGCAGGTGTCCGTTTCTTGCAAAACTCTGCCAAAGCAGCCCGCGTCTCAGGACTCAAGGCCTTCTTACAAGCCTTGCAATCTGGGCCGGTGCAATTCATTTCATTGCCAAAGACACCACAAGGCGGCATGTCTTGTCCTCACTGCAAACAGAATTGTCGAACGCAAGCGGACAGGTCAGAACTGCAAATCAAACCATGTCCGAAAAAACTGACGTGACAGACGGACACACCAACCAAGCCAAAGTCTCTCTTGTCTACGGCAATCTGGCCCTCATCACCAGATGCAGAGCCACGATCACTGTCTAGCAGGGCTTCCACCTTCTTCATGTGGCCAAGAACCTCATCATCAGAGACCTGATCCCATGGGCCTCGCTCAGTTGGTGTCAAAGACTCCCCGTCCCACTCCTCGTTGTGGGCGTTGGCCCAACTAGCGGGGATGCAATGTCTGACGGTGCCGTTGGGGCCATGCTCAACCCAACGTTCAGTTCCATCCCACCGCGGATCTCTGCGAAGAGGCTGTGGCGATGAATCTGAATCAGGTGTCTCTTGCATGAGGCTGCCCAGCCGGTCCTCCCATTGCAGTGAGCCTTCACCTGAATCCCCATCAGCAGTCGAAGCATCCTCGACCTGTGACTCCTTTGCCACAGCCTTGGGGCAAACCATGCCTTCAGGCTTTGGAACCACAAATCGCTTCCAATACGCAGCGAGCTTTGGATCAATGGATTGTTTTCCACTGGAAGCAGGCTTCTCCACAAGATCCGTATTTTGCTGAGTGCCTTGGGAAGGCTCAACATCACTCATGGCATCACCTGCCGATTCATTGGAGGCCTCGCCATCACTCATGGCAGCATCCTGGATCGGCTCCGGTTCAGTGCTCTCGTTGTGGGAGCCACTGTCATCGGGCGATCGCGCAGAAACAGACCCAATGTCATTCTCACCAAACTCGAGGTCTGTGTCCTGGCGCTTTCCTCTCTCAAGCCAACGAAATGTTTCTTCAATGGTTTCAATCATGTGCCAAAACTGATTCAGGCAATACAGGGTGAACAAACTGCTACCAATAACAATCACTCCTCAAGGGCAGGAGGCGGATTCCTGAACCGGCAGCGGTTTTGCTGAAGCAAACCTTTCAGCTCGAGGATCGCAGGGTCCCAGCTATGTGAACCTGAGTGGCTGGCGGTAGCCCCAGTCATGGATCAAGACCACAAATCAGGTTAAAGAAATATTCACAAGATATTTGACACGGCATCATTTTGAGCCATAACCAGTCAAGGCAAGAAACTGTTCCGGAACAAGTGTCGCAAAGCGCCAAGGAGCTTCTTAATCCGTTTGCCTTCCAAAGCAGCTTTGTCACCTTTGGTCTGGCCTTCCGCAGGCACTATGAGCTGTCGCTCCATCTTGGTGTCCAGCATCAACAGGGCGTCTGCCAGCAGAAACCCTGATGGGACCTGCATGAAGCAAACACAGGCACCTCAAGTGCAACGGACAACAAGTACTGCTGAAGGCATGGACAATCGTTTGCAAGTCGGCCTTTGTTGGATACAATTCGCAGCACGGGCGGAGCCAAATGTAATTCGTTTGCATCTCCTATCTGATCCAGGACCGGATGATCAGGCGCAAACTTGAACTAAACACATCTAAACACCAGAACCAAACAACTGCTGTCATGGGAGGACGCGCAAACCCTTTCCGCACAAACTCTCCTTCGCGCTTGGCCTGGAGTAGTCATTCCCGAGCTTCACCAGTGCGCACCCTGGAGCCAGCTTCTTGTTCCGCACCAAGTCCAATGCCACTTCGGGCATCTCATCCAACCATTTGGTGGATAGTGTCTCCTTGGCACAAACATTCTTACTGGCAATTCGGTCTGGTGTCTCCATGTCTTTGTGAGCACAGTGAACCATGCACCAAAAGTATTCGAGGTTGCATTTCCTTTCTAGTCTTTAAAATGCCCACTAGCTCAGGGGCGACATCTTGTTCAGTCCAAGAGATCTTCCCAGGCCCTCAGCAGCGCAGAGAGCAAGAGTTGACAAACCACAGGCATCAAAAACAACTGAAGACAAACAATGGGAGAGCAAGGGAAGTTTCAAGCTGGGCCGCGTAAGGACTTCCATGGTCCGCTGACAGAAAAAGCCATTGCCAAGACCGACCGAGTTCCAAGTGCTCCAGCCACAATTGCTGCCAAAACAGCTGTACGGACGCGCTGGTTACATCGACGCAACTCTCACTCCGTTTTTTCTAACATGAGGGGCCCTTTCCAGGCTGGCTAAAACTACTATATATAAAAAAAGACACCCAACAGGTCACCTAAAAAAAACACATCGAATCGAGCCGGTCAACTTGAAAAAATGCACAGCTCCCCCTCGTCTCTCGCAGGACGAGTCTGGACCGCTCGCCAGAAGAGAAATCGTGGCAGCTGCAGTGCTGCGTGTGATGTGGGAAGGGTGGGAAAACGCGTTTCTATGTGTGTGTGTGTCCACCCCTGGACAAAGGGTTTCCTTCGACCACTCCAATCAGGCAGGGGGACCAGTCATCTCGCTGCTCACCTGGTCTAACAAAGCTAGGCAGCGAGATGGGAAGCACTGAGAGACGTCTCGGTGTGTACCTGCGAAGTTTTCCACAAGCTGTCACCCTACTGTTCCACGGTTTGATTCATGGTTCGTTCATGATACTTTCCCCACAAACAGGTTTTCGGCCGCCGATTTTCAGCTGCTTTGCCGCTGTGCGTTTTTTCCGCAGTCAAGGGAAACAACTTTTGTTCAAACACTTACAATTTCTTGGACTTCTCGCCTTGCTGTTCCACCACCATCCTTCCCATCGTGGTCATTGAGTCACTGAATACAAGTGTCAGAGTGTGTTTCGCTCAGCCGTCCCACTCGGGTGCTGAGTGTGATCCCCGTCACAGGGGCGCCGTTTTTACATGGGAAAGCAACCACCCCAAAGCACCACCGCTCATTGGACCCTCACTGGCAGTCACCGACACCCCCACTGAATCAACCGATACACTGGCCGCCGGGCCCAAAAACGGTTACTTTCGAATACATCAGATTTCGGAGACTGAAGAACTCAAACTCGCTAGCTTGAGCGTACTTGACGGCTAAGTATTCACATGCCTGCGCTGCTAAGTATTCACAGGCCGGATGAAATGTGGCTGGGATAATAACCATCCGTTGGATGGTACGGCAATGTTCTTAATCACGGTGTGTTCACCGGAAAAGTACTTACATATGGTCCTTCAATCTCATCCAATGTTCCTAGTTTCCTCGTTGAATGTTTTTTGTCGTGCGTACCGAAAGACTTCTCAGACGTTGCTGCTGACAATGAATGCCTGTTTAGCTGAAACCATACTGTGCGTGGGACAACATGGACATGATGGGTCCGTTTAGAAGGGGTTTTCGATCGTCGTCGGCGCGCGTTTACAAGCAATCGGCGCGTTTACGACCAATAGGCGCATTGTTTTGGATCACAGGGGGAAACCTATCCCAAACAGTCGGCCGTCTCTATTTCTACGCTCGCCTGAGCCGGTGAGATTGCCTACGCGCACCAAACGGTCGTCATCTGGTGAAATGGAATCGTGACACTGCTTTCTAACTCCTAATAATCTCCAACTTTAAATCATCATCAAAATACCAGCTTTCCGAGCTGATCTGTCACCTCTTCGTCTCAAATCACCAGGACTTATCTCCAGCATTGCTGAATCACTTCTTCTTTTCACGTGGCTCGCTCGAACCTGGATAGCAGCTCGAAGAAGATGTTCACTCTCCATATCCTACTGCCTTCAAATAATTTGCCAGGTCCTCAAAGCGTCCACCTCGATTCGGTCCATGGGACAAAATCCAGCGAAGATAGCCAGCATGTTTCGGCATGGACACCAACTCACTGTATGTGAGCTTCTCTGAGGCCACCTTTGGGAGTCCGCAAATCGTCGTTCCCCAATCTTGTACATCTCGGCCTTGTGCACCATCGGAGCCAACGGCAGTTGGTCCTCACAGGTGATTGGCTCCCAATCATCTGCTTCGGCCGAGCATGGTCGCGATCACGAAGTCTCTTCGATGAATTGTTCATCGACCCACGCTTACCCACCTTGGTGTTCACACCAAAATGATCGGCCCTGGCCAGGACCTCCCTGGCTGCAGCAAGCTCCTCAGGAGTCACTGGTGTTCCACGAGCAGCCATTGTGCTTGCGCTCGAAACAAGGGCTGGGTGATTTCTGCTGAAGTCGAATATGAAAAAAGGGGCTGCAGATAAAACATGCAATCAACCATCCGCAGCTTCTGTTCACTCTGACACTGGTGTGTGCACTCTCATCACCGGAATTGCTTCGCAAGTTCCGTGTTCACAAGCTTCGAACAACACAAAACCAAGAGCTCACAGCTGTGCGAAAAGCTCTCCAAGACTCATCATCGAATCAAACAAAAGAGCATTCTTAGCTTGCATGAGTGCATCAAAAAGTAGGCGCATGAAAATTCGGCTCGGTTGTCTATTGCACATCACTCAAACTAATTACGACCGGCTCCCCTTCTAAGACAGCAAAAACCTTCTCACTTAATAACCCTCTTTATTAAATGATTACGAACGGCGCTGTATTACGAACGGCACTGTCAAGGAAACCTCTATTCGGCCTGGACCTTTGGTTTCTGCTTCTCAGACCTTTGCATGGCAATGCGTTTCCTCCGATCCTTTTCCTCACGTCGTCGATCCATGACGAGCTGTTCATCCGCTAGTTGGTAGCGGGCATTTCGGAGAACAGAACGGAGTAAATCGATCGGTTCAGTGTCGTCGGACACCACCGTGGCTCTAACTTCGTTCTCTGGATGGATTGTCTAATTATTGCGATGTCTATTGCAGTCCTCTTATCGTCCAAGGCACTGTTACCTAGCGATGTGAGGTGGTCATACAAAGACCTGCAATCCGTCATACCTATTGGGGGCCTACGCAACAGGACTTCCTCTGCTTCTTCCACCATGAAAGGTCCGTCGAGGCATTCAGCCATCATCAGCAGCATCCATTCACAGACCCCTGATGCTGTGGAGAAAGCTTTTGCCTCTCCCGACATGGTTGAGGCCACAACTCGGGGCAAACGGTATGATTTCCAAGCAAAACAGGAACCGGCACGTCCAACCCTTTGCGCATTTTGTCTGACGTGAAGGCAACTAACCAACCACCTTGAGTTTTCATTTCAGTGCTGTTGGCAAACGCTGCGTCTGACCAAAAACACAGGCTCAACTCCTCTAGAGGAATGAACGGAACATGGATCTCGAGGTCTGATTGTTGGCGGGCTCTACGTACTGCTTGGTTTGCTTGCAACAAATCTCCTACTGTAGGATTTGGGAAACACTGCTGGCTAATGGATGTTTGCACTGCTAAATCAGGTCTGGACTGTGCGCTGATCCAACTCAGGGCACCATTCACTGCTCGCAAGGCTGAAATCTCTTGGGGACTCGCCGCTAACCATGGCTTTTTCACCCTCTCTTTTGCAATCTTGATGGGTGAGATGTGTTCAGCATACTCTTTCTGCTGAAATTTGATTTCCATGGTGTCCAAATCTTGGTGGTAAATCGTCCCCAGAAACTCGCCGGTTCCGGATCGCCATTTGCGAAATGGAAAGCGAGACTTAAGATGCTCAACAGCCTTGGCATAGGTGTCTCCCGCTTCTCCAGTGATGGTATCGTCCACGTGTGCACCAAGAATGCCTTCCAACTGGTTCTGGGAATTGTAACACAAATACAGACAGTTGTCGAATTTGCTTCTAACAAAACCTGCTTCGAGGGCCACTCTGTTGAATTCACAGTACCATTCATGGGGAGCATCGTTGGCACCGTAAATGTTGCCCAACACCTGCACCACCCTAAGTCACCGAAATTAGAAAATTTACATTTTTATTGGATTTACGTAGATTGATGAATTTAGGTGGCAAAAAGTGTAAATGGGTTAGTAAATGTAAATTTGATTTAGGTACAACCTAAATTTATTTAGGTTGGTCTTCACTAAGGGCTTTTCCTATTTTTCATTACTTAACTGCATCTAAAACACATCTTTTGAAGAAAGTAATTTGTAAAAATATAGCCACAAGTAGAGACACTTGGATAAAAGCACAAGCGCACACATTCAGGTATAAGCACGCAGGAAAGACAAGCGCAAGCAAAATGACTTGGGTGAAACAGAAAAGCAAACAAACTCAGGTAAACACAGTTCCAAATTGGAAGAACATGTGGCCACACAGTGTTTGGGCTGCTACTTTTTGGGCAGCTGCTGTTCCAGAAAACTTCATCTAAATTAAGCGTTGTTTTTCCTGAGGTGCAACAGGTGCCCTTGAGACTGGCCACCTTGGTTGCCCCCCAGTGCTTGTTGCCTGCAAGGCAGCTTTTCATCAAGGTCGCGCATTTGGGCAAACAAGGGCTTCCCCAGGTTGACCACGAGCTTTCCATCCTTTGTCCTGTCCAGGACTTGGTTCACTATCTTGCGCTGTTCTTTTGCGCGCCCCTTCTTCATGCTCAAGGTCTTCTTCCAAGCCTGCACAACATAGTCTGGCAGAGAGCCCTCAGACAACAAGGCCTTGAACTTGTTGTCCTTCGACCTGTCCTTCTTGGCCTCATCGCACTCAAACAAGTCTGCATTGTCCTGCTCCTCCTCCTCCTCCTCCACATTCTCTTGGTCATCCTCTTCAACTTCTGGTCCTCCTGATCTTCCTGCAACCCTGCTGCCCAGCCCTGAGCTGCTGGTTTCTTCTTTGGCTGAACGGTCTCTCCACTTGCAGCAGGCCTTTTCAAAGAGTTGGCCTTTGGCTTTGCCTTTGGTTTGCCCTTTCCCTTTGCTTTTGCTTTGGGACTCTTCCCTTTAGGGCTCTTTGCTTTTGGGCTCTTTGCTTTGGTAGCAGGTCTCTTTTCACAAGTGTACTGGGTGATTTTTGCTCACCATCTTCCTTCTCTTCAGGTGTGACTTGGCCCATAGGAATCTCTTCTGCCATGCCAACCAGCTACTGCACCTATCTTTCAAATCTTTCAAAGCTCTTTGAGATCAATCTAGCTGCAAAAGGAAACAACAATCAATAAGCCAGCTGTGCAGTAAACTCTCTACAACTTCAATTTGGACAACAAACAATGCTGATCAACTCTTTGTGCAAAAGCATTACATTCTCAGGTAAAGGATAAATTCACAAGAATGCTAGGTATGTTTTTGCTGACAAGATGATGCAAAACATGATAACTTTTCATAAAATCTGCGAATTTGTGATGCACTTTTGATGCACTTCTGATGTACTTTTGATGTATTTTTTTAAAAGTGTATACACTTTTAACACAAGTGCATACACTCTTGATCAAAAGTGTATACACTTTTGAAAAGTACATCAAAAGTGCATCAAAAGTTCATCAAGAATTCATCAATATTTTGACCTTAAATTTATAGTTTTTTGAACTAAATTTCATAAATTCATAAATACATATCAAATGCACTTCAACTCACAACAAGACTAAACAAGACTAAGCACACAATTCCAAGTTGAATGGCATCCTCATGTAAAGTATACTTACACAAAGTCTCAACCACTGAAGTAAAATACACTCAAGTAAAACAATCCTCAAGTAATGTCTGCCATGCTCAAGTAAAGTGTGCCATGCTCAAGTAAAGTCTGCCATGCTCAAGTGAAGTGTGCCATGCTCAAGTGAAATCACATCCTCAAGTAAAAGCTCAACAGGTAAAGTCACACCCTCATGTAAAAGCTTCTCAAGTAAAGTCACATCTTCTTCATGTAACAGCTTCTTAGTTCTCAAGCCAGGGTTGAGCTTGAGGCTTCGCAGCATGGACAACAAAATCCTCAAGGTAAGACCGCACTTGTCAATCATATCCTCAGTGGTATGGCCTTTGGGCATTGAAGAAAATTCAAAGTCCCTGTTTGCATTCATTGCCCTGAGGGTCGCATTCAACTTGGTAGGAGTGAGCTTTGTGTTTGGACACACTTTCACCAAGTCAAAAAAGCAAACCGGCAACTTTGGACAACCGCTCTCCATGAGGAGCTGTGTGCCATCCATAGGACATAGGGCCAGTGGGGGGTGGGCAGATCAAACTCCATAGATCCTTCTTCTGCTTGAACTGCAAGAACCCTGTGAGGGCACCTTAGCTGCTTCCAAAGCAGCCATGGTCACAAACCAAATAGAGCTAAAAGCAACAGAGCCAAAAGATCTCTCACATAAAAGATGCACCCTCACACTGGCAAAAACCATCAGAGAGACAGAGACTGTGCTTCTTCCTAAAGTGAAGAAAAGTCCATATCCTCAAGGAAATTTCCTCCCTGAAGTAGACACCCTCAAGTAAAAAGGTTTTGTTCAAGTCAAGAAGGGTTCACATGCTCAAGTAAATGCAATCCCTTCAAGTAAAGGCAAAGTCCACAAAGCCAACTCACATAAATTGAAACATTTTCTGCTTCAAAATCATGCTCACAAAAATTTACTCATAACCTAAAAAAAATTTACTCATAACCTAAATTGGATTTACTCATAACCTAAACCCGATTTACCACTATATTTACGTAAATTTTTACGTAAATTTTCCTTAGTAAAAACAAATTTACGTAAATTTTATGGTTAGTAAAATTACTAATTTGGGTGACTTAGGGCAATGAACCTGGTTCTACTCCAGGGACCGAACGTTTGCCTCTAGGAAGGCTCCTTTTATGTCGCCTAAATGCATCTTCCAGCGATTGCTGACGATCATCTGGAGTATCAGGCTTCTTCCGAATTGAGACAATGTCGGTGAATGACATTTTCCAGCCAACACCTTGGTGAACAAGTCGGGATCATGATGGCCCCTCAAACACCATCGGCTCTTGATTTTGGAATCACCATCATCGTGCTTTTCAATGATGACAAATCGACCGGTCATGATGCGATCAGGGCGACATGACCGAATCCGCCGGGCTTGCTGAGGCGGAGTGACTTGAAGAGCCTTCTTTTCATCTCGCAGAGTGGTCCATTCAACAATCTTAGATGCATCAATCTTCTCTTGAAGTTGTGGCGGGTTATTCGAATGGTGCAACTCTTTCTGAAGTTTCTTCTGCAAAAAGCTGGCGATCAGGATCTCAACACTTTCTGCTGGACCATTCTCGGATGCTAGCTCGGCCAACAGACAGGAGTGTTCATCGAACTGGACCATAACCGGACGTCTGCCAGTACGGTTCT